CACAACATCTTCTTCCTTTTGATCCCTAAATCTTTGGCAAATAGCCTTGCTCCAATTAAGGAACCAAATCTTAGCTCTACCCTGTAGAAATAAACTTGCTAGTTCTACCCTCCTATCATCGAGTACCTCAAAAGTTTGGAAATATTTCCTACACTTGCTAACCCAAGTTCTTGCATCTAATCTCTCAAAACTAGGCAAATCACACTTAGGGAGTAGCTTATTAAAATAAGTTCTCCCATTTGGTTCATACTCATTCTGTTCTCTACCCCCTGGGTTATTTAGGATCCCTTTATCAGTTCTAGGGGATTCAGGGTTTGTGTTTAAGTGCTTCCTACCTCTCCTACTGCCAAGTTGTGAGAAGGGACCTCCAGGAGAAAAAGAGGTAGAGAATGAGGGATTACCTTGAATCAACATAGCCAAGTAAGCCACTGATTTTTGGTTCTCTTGCTTAAGCTCTTCATAAGATGCTTGTGCTTTTCTTTGTTCCAGCCTCATACTATTTTGCTCATGTAACAGTTTCTCCATTGTGATGTGATGTTCCTTCAAGTGAGATTCAATAGATCCAAGCCTGGTTTGCTCCTCCAGTTTGGAGTTGAGAGAGTGGAGCTGGTATTCCAGTTATTCCAAGGATACAGGAATGCCCTCAGATGAGGGTCCCTTGTTCTTCTTAGAGGCAGTTGATTTACTCATGGTTTCCAGCAACCGTGGCTGCTTTGATATCAGTTGTTAGGAATATTCCTAGCTATTTGAGTAAAATAGGGTAGGTAGAGATGTAGTAGGTCTGAGAATTGAAAGATAAAGCAGAATAGGAGAAGAAAAGAAGAGAATGACAGAAGAGAGAGAGAGAGAGAGAGAGAGAGAGAGAGAGAGAGAGAGAGATGAACAGAGAGAGAGAGAGAGAGAGAGAGGTAGAGAGAGAGAGAGAGAGAGAGTGAAGGAAATTTGATTGTAATTACTGAAATTGGATGCTCTTGCCTCTAAATGAGATGTAATACATATAAGGAAAAGAAAGAATAAAGGATAATAGGAGAATGAAGGACAATATGGCTACACCAGCCTGTGTCCTAGTATTATTGGAATATTATTCTTCTTAGCCCGATGATATCTCCACAGATCATTCCCATTCCTCTGATTTAGGAACAGATTACAATTAATTTCCTGTAATTAATCTCTGTAATTCCTTTCCATATTCTGTTTGTATTCTCCCTATTTAAAAGGTCTTGGACATCAATACAAAATCATCAAGAATTCAAAATCCTCAAACACTTTCATGGTATCAGAGCTTCAGTTCTGAATTCCCTCCCTCTCCTTTCTCTCCCATATTTTTTTTTAGCTGCTGCCGCCGATAGCCATGACACAAACAGAAGTCCCATCTTCGACCTCCAACCCTAAAACACCCACCCCCATTCACCCTGCCTACTATTCCAACCCTGCCTCTCTAGTGACTAACATTCGCATTCAAAAATAAGAAACGCTAAGAACCCTAGATGGTAGCACAGTTACATACACATCATGGGTGAAATTATTCAAGTTTCATTCTATTGCATACCGTGTTCTTGATCACATTGATGACACGCCACCCCCAGCCTCTACAGATCCATCATACAGTGCCTGAAAAGAAATAGATGCCTTGGTGTCTCAATGGATTTACAGTACCGTGTCTGATGAACTGCTCACCCACATCCTTGACACTGAAGCTACGGCTAGAAAAACATGGCTGAAACTTGAGAAAATCTTCCTTAGCAACAAGAAAGCAAAAGCGGCAGCTCTTGAAACAAAAACAAATTCGTTAATCCTCACCGCCTTGCGCCTGCAGTTTTTCGTTGATGATTACTGCAAGAATTGAAAGACAATCGCCAACTGCACTGAAACGATGTGCGCAACCAGTTACAGAATCCCGATTGGTCTTAACAACTGGTTTTGTGGCCGTTCCTCAAGAATTCGACGCCTAGCTTCTCTATTAAACTCACCAAACGCAGACAACTCACAAAACGCAGACTGGGACCTTGCACGAACCATGTTGAATGATGAGGTCATTCGCCAGGCTGCACGACAACAAACCACCTCTGTCCTTGTCGCTCCAACCATGCAGACAAACCAAACCCAGCCGGCCGCAACTCAACAACCTCACAACAGTTCTTACCACTCCAATTATAGAGGCCGTGGTCGAGGCAGACGTGGCAGCGGCAGAGGACGCAGCTACAGGGGAAACTCTATGGGGACTCCTTGGGCTATAACACATCAGTCCGCCAATCAAACCAACCCAAAATGGGCTTGGTGGAACACTCCACCTTGTCCCTACCCAACACAAACTCCATGGCCACCAAATCAAATTCAAAACACACCCACTGCCCATTATGCCGCTTATTATTATGCCGCTTATTTAGAACAGCAGCCATACGGCCCAGCACCACCATATCCCCCTCCACCGCATACTGGATATGATGCTTTAAGTCCTTCCGATCTCAGCCAAGTTTATAACACGATGCAACTCAACTACACAGATCCAAATCTGATCATGGATACAGGGGCAGAACGTCATGTCACCGACAACCGAGGTATGATTCACAACCCTGACTCTTTTCCTGTTAACACTAAACTTTTAGTCGGCAACGGACACTATTTACCAATTGAGGGCTCAGGAACAGGTTACCTTCCCATCCTTAACCGTACATACATCCTCCCAAACATACTTTACAGCCCACATATCATTAAAAATTAAAATTAATTATCTGTCCGCCGTTTTACACGTGATAACAATATTTCTGTTGAATTTGACCCTTTTGGTTTCTCTTTGAAGGACCTCAAAACGGGACAGCTCCTTTCGACAGCTCCCTTTCCTGGGCCACAATAGTACCGGAGATTCTCTATCCTGTCACTCTCCACCAACCCTACCACCACACAAGCTTGTTCAATCACATCTCAAATTTACCTTGGCAGCGATTCGCCTGCCGGTCACCCTGGCACACAAAGTTTTAGATGTTTTTTAACTTAGATGTTTTAACCAAACAGTTTGGTCTTCCTTGTAATAAGAACAAGCATTTATTTTTTTGCAATTCTTGTCATTTATCTAATAGCAAACGATTACCTTTTTATGAGTCAAATTCCTTTACTTTCTCACCATTTGATATAATACACTATGACTTGTGGACCTCCCCTATTCCAACCAAATCTGGATATAAATACTACATGGTGCTAATTGATAATTTTTCCAATTATGTGTGGGTATACCCTCCCAAGTTCAAATCTGAAACTTTCACCACTTTTACTAAATTCCATAAACTCATAGCCACCCTCATAGCCACCCAATTCAACCGCAATATCAAAACTTTTCAATGTGACTTGGGGGGAGAATTTGACAACCATAACTTCAAAATTTTTGCCCAACAACATGGTCTGTTATTCCATTTTTCATGCCCCCAAACATCTTCCCAAAATGGTCGGGCTGAACGCATGATTCGTCGTCTCAACGACATCATCCGCTCACTCCTCATCCATGCTCAATTACCACCTATGTTTTGGTCGAAGCACTTCACACTGCTGCCTATCTCCATAACATCTTTCCAACCAAACGTCTCAATTATTTCACACCCACTTTTGCCTTATATCTCCGCCACCCGACATACGATCACTTACGTGTGTTCGGGTGTGCTTGTTATCCCAATATCCCAATACCTCTGCAACCCAACCCCACAAATTACACCCAAGATCCGTTAGATGCATCTTCCTTGGATACCCTCCAGATTTTAGGGGATACCGATGCTTTGACCCTACAACCGGGAAGATCCACATATCACGACATGTAACCTTTGATAAACAAATTTTCCCATACACCATTCCAACTCCACCCAAAACATACACATTTCTTGATGAACAACCACCACCAGGATTTAAGTTTATACAACCTCACCCAACACCAAACACCACCCAAACCCAAAAACGCCCAATCTCTCCTTACCCCATAATATACACTCGCCGCCATAAACAACAGCCCCTTAACCCAGTGGCCAATGCTACGACACCCCAACACACTGCTAAGGCAACCCCCACATGCACCTGCTGCACCTGTCTCAACAAATCCCAACACTTCCAGACCACCGCTGTATCAAAACCCGCACAGAATACCCAGTCCAAATGACCCACCCGCTCCCAAAGCTCGCCCATGCCCGTTATGACCACCTATTTCACCAATACCCCACCTCTTATGCAGAAAGCTTTTTCTGATCCCTCATTGGTTAATGCTATGCAGGCTGACTTTCGTGCTTTGCAAGAAAAATGAATACATGGGAAACTCGTGCCTCACTCTCCCTGACCGAACCCGACCGGTCATTTCGGTGTATGTGGCTTTTTCGTACAATTTTAAATCAGATGGGTTCACTTCAAAGGTACCAAAGCACGTTGGTGTAAAATGGCAAAATCTCAAACGGTGGGCATTGACTGTGACGAATACTTTTTAGTCCCGTAGTGAAACCCGCTACTTAATATCGGACTGTGGTTATCATTGCAGTCCGCTTGGCAATACAACCAGTGGATGCAAAAAAACGCGTTACATTGAGGCAATTTAAATTTGAAACTTTTTTATGGCATCAACCCCCGGGTTTCCCACAGATAAGAAAGATAGCCCTCATTTTGTGGTGCATATTGAAAAAATCCCTTTATGGGCTCATAACAGGCGCCACGGGCATGGTTACACCAGATTTGCAACCCATCTGCTGTCTCATTGGGTTTCGTAGCAGTGGTGTGTGACAATTCCCCCTATTCATTTTGCTTCAAAAGGGAAATCAGCTTGCGTATTTAACTTCTGTTTATGTTGATGAATATAGTGCTCACTGCCTCTTCTAATTGAGTCTATTACAGAATATTTATCCGCATGCTCTCACGGAGTTTGCAATGACAGATTTGGGCGCGGGTTGCCATCATTTCCCTGGGAATCAAAGTGACATGGACATTGGTGGTTATTTTTGGATCAAGTCTCAATACACATAAGGATATAATCTCCCATGAGCTCAAGAGCTTCAATGTCCTCTTGCAAACCGTGTGCCACCCCAGTCGATCTATCATCAAAACTGAGTGCTTCTGATGGACCTCTCTTCCATGATCCAACATTATACTGCAGTCCTGCTGGCGCATTACAGTATCTCACATTCACACGCCCAGATATATCATATGCTGTTCAACAAATATGCCTCTTCATGCATGAACCGCGGGATCCACACTATGCCTTTCTCAAAAGAATAATCCGATATTTACGAGGCACAGTTGACTACGGTATAAGAATTGGCAAGACAAATACACATACCTTGGTAGCATACTCAGACGCAGATTGGGGTGCCCAGACTCCAGAAGATCAACTAGTGGCTACTGTGTTTGGCTACTGTGTTTTCCTTGGTGATAATTTCATTTCATGGTCTTCAAAACGGCAGCCTACTATCTCACGGTCTAGTGCAGAGGCAGAATATAGAGGAGTAGCCAATGCTGTTGCAGAGACCACCTGGCTGGCTTCGCAATTTACTTCTGGAATTACACCTCCCACTTCAGCAGGCCTCCGTCGTATACTGTGACAATGTTTCAGCAGTGTATATGTCTGACAATCCTGTCCAGCATCAACGCACAAAACACATTGAGATCGACATACACTTTGTACGGGAGAAAGTTCGAATAGGCCACATTCGGGTTCGAATAGGCACATTCGGGCTCCACATGTCCGCCTATCTGCTTTTTCAATATGCTGACATCCTTCAACCAAAGGCCTATCTCGACAAGTTGTTCCAGCATTTCGATCCAGCTTTGAGGCGTCTGTCCCCGCCCAGCTCAAACTGCGGGGGAGTCTTAAGCCGATGAATATCTCGCACAGATCCATTTCCTCTGATTGTAGGAACAGATTTAACAATAATTTCCTATAATTATCTCTGTTTTAATTCCTTTCCATATTTCTGTTTGTATTCTCCCTAAATTTAAAGGGTCTTGTACATCAATACAAATCATCAAGAATTTTTCAAATCTCCTCAAATACTTTCAATTCCATTTAGGAACAGATTACAATTAATTTCCTATAATTAATCTCTGTAATTCCTTTCCATATTCTGTTTGTATTCTCCCTATTTAAAGGGTCTTGTACATCAATACAAATCATCAAGAATTTCAAATCCTCAAATACTTTCAATTCTAACTAACATTTTTGTTTCTTAGCTACATTAATTCCTAAGTACATTTCTACCCTTTCTCTTATATGTAACAGACCAATCAATTAATATACTAATCAAATAATTTAGATTTAGATAGGAAAACTAATATAACCAATCAAAATTAATTACCTTTAATTAATATACTAATCAAAAAATTTAGATTTAAATAGGAAAACTAATATAACTAATCAAAATTAAATACCTTTATTTTTCCAACCACTCAAATTAAAATCTTTCAAGATATTCTTGTCATTCCTCAAAATTATTTGGTTCATTTTAGTCGATCCTAATGTTTTCCCCACTCATTCCCACTTTTATATGTATTATATATTATAGATTATAGATATAAATATATCAAATCTGATTTTGGGTGTCAAGACACAATTCATGGGGTTCCGCATCACAAGGGGAGGATTACTCCAATTTTGTAGTTCGCAGTATTATTTTGGCTTATTGCACCTCCCAATGAATAAAAAAAACATTATCTTTTGATTTAGAATTTTCTGTTTTTTTCAGGATGATGGTCGAAGTATCCACAGCAAACTGGAAAAGAGGCAGAAGTTAGAAAAGATGAACTCTTCAAATACAATAGATGCTTCAGCACCTCTGAGTAGTAATGGCTCACAAGACTCACCAGGTGTGTATCCTTTTTGTGTCTTTTCAATATGCAAATTCCGGGCTAATTTGGATTGCTATGGCCAATAGCAGTTCTTGGGGTCATGACTTACGCAAAATTCTTGTGGGTTAATGAATAATAGATTCTTGTACTGTTATTTTTGACTGCTTAAAGCAGATTTTGGGCAAAGCCGAAAATATGCACTTTTTCTAAAAGAAACTCATTGCAAAAAGCTATAGCCATGATGGACCAGCATGATTAATCATAATTTTTGGGCAAATCTATTGACAATGCCCATTGCAAAATTTATGATTGCACACAATCTTGTTTCCAGGTTATTTATAAACTAAGGAACTGAGCTTATCTACATTATTGCATTTGTGCATTGGATAATTTTATAGAAAAAGTATTTCAAACTTAAAACTAGAAACTATGCTGGATGTAATTGCGATTAGACTAGGATTCCACGATGAATTAGAAGCTTGCTTGCCAAGAGGTATATGCAAGTGAAATCTTACGAGTAATCAGAGAATCCATGAAACATTGGACCAAAAAAAAAAAAGTCTAGAATTTGGTCAATATGCACAATGTTAATAGCAGTGTTTTCTAGATCCACACTGGAACGGCTGGTCAGACTGCTTAACCAGTAACTAGTTGCTGGCTCTGTTTGTGTTTCTCTGATAAGCCCTCGTTCTCTGGTTAACCAGTCCAATGGAGTGGAGGGTGAACTGACTAAAAAACCAATTTGACTGAACTGAAAAGTGGAAGTGTCAAAGCGAGGAGTTGAACCTTTATCCTTGTGCTAAATGCATGTATAGTGTGGCACCGACCACTTGACAGTCGTAATTTGTTATCACCAGTTTTTTATTTATTAAACAAAATAAACCAACAAATTAGAATTTTTTTTTTTACTTAAGTATATCCTCTATATTAATTGGTCATTAAAATATAGTTATTATACACAAAAAAAATTATATATATTCAAAATTAGAAGAACACTGCACAACAATTTTTTTTGCTGTGTTTGTTTTGATAGAGTCAGGGTGAGCAAAAGAGAAATAGAAATAGAAATAGAAAATCAACATGCAAGAAATGACACATTTGTTTTCTTTGGCTGGGATGGATTTTTTCAAAGAATGATGGGGAAGCAACCAAGCCCAGACCATTCATGGTGTGTTCCAGAAGGCCCAAAGTTGGAGGGCAAGGAAGAGGAATTTAGAAAAGACAGCATCATACCTTGCAGCCAACGAATGAGTACATGGTAGAAGTTAGTTAGGAATTCCAGCTGTATATTGGAGTGAGTGCGAGGCTGTGAGGGGTATCTTTTGGGATCAGTAATTTCGATCGTGTTGGTATCGGGAGCATCCTCCTGGGGGCTGAGTTTCTTCAGTCATCTATTCTCTATTCCTTGTTTACTGGATATTCTGTCCTTCATTTCAGTTAATTGGAACCCTTCAAGGCCTTATTAATTTCAGATCTTATTTCTTTTATTTTCTCCATTAGAAACCTGTTCTTTACTCTACCCAGTTGGTCCGACCTGCTGTTTTGCACATGGCAAAAACCAGAATGGAGGGTCGATTAGAGGAGGTAGAGAAGAACGTATATAATCTACAAACACAGCAAAGTTATTTGCTTTTCTAGGGTTGTAATTTTTTTTTTTTTAAAAGAGAAATGCATTTCAGCCTAAAAAATGCATTTTAAACTTATGTTAAAATTATGGAAAGGCGCCAGAACATTCCGTACCCGTATGCTGGAGTTTCCAGGCATCATCTGTATATATACTCTTCTATCCTTTTTCACATATTCATTAACTAATATTCAGAATCGTGCTTTCAGGACTTCAATAAATATATTTTTCTTTTGATCTAGTTTAATCCTAGTTTAACCATAGTTAATACTGTGATCCTTTGATACTCCACCTTCCCCTGTTCAGTGGTGGTTTTTGAGATAAAATGCATCAGTATAGAGCATATTACATGATCATGATAACCAACAAGAAAATCTGTCAGGGTCATGAACTGCTTTTCAATAAGTTGAACTTGGAAATTTTATGAAAGGAACTCCTTCCTTTTACATTCTCCTTGAAATTCTTCTATAGTTGGACTGATGGGTAGCCTCACTAGTTTGTTGTGTTTTTAGCAGATCTATTTGCTTGCTGCTAAAAGTTGGAATTTGGTTTCCTAATTTTATTCTTGCAATTTTAAAGAAATCATGGTAACAGTTTGATCGCCTACTCAACAGACAAAAAATCAGCTCGTGATCCAGGCTCAAAGAAAGTTACTAGTCGTGTTGTACCCGCATATCGCAGGTATACTTCAGCATATATTACCAGTGAGAACATATGTTTCTCATGTTAATGACTTCTATATTGTTTGGGCAGGGCAAAAGTGAGGGGCGCCTTTCTGCAGGATACTGAAGATGACAAACACAACTAGAATCGAAGCTGACGGTTTAATTGGCGACGTTTTGCAATTACATGATCTAGTTTAGAATTGTTATTTCAATGGAACATATATACATATAGAGAAAATGAAATGGATTAATATTTTTAGTTAAGTGACAAAATGTAAATCCTAGACTGTTAAGAATCTGTGAAGAAATGTGATTTTAGGGATTTGTGTATATATTTGCTATCAAAGATTAAAATCAGGCATTTGGACAGGTTTGTACAGATGATATTACTAGTCAGCTTATGCAAATTGTATTTTTCTGTATATTCATATGGCTAAGTTGGAATAGTTGCCTGTGTTTTGCAATAGTGATTTTGCTGTTTGAAAAGAAACAAATTCAGGAATCACAGATATTCAAAACAGAGCATGTCATTTGTTTATCTTCTCAGTAAGTTTTTGGCTGCTTTATGTAAAGTTTTTAGCTGCTGTAGTAGCCGAGAAACAATCAGCATCGATCACCAGCAACAAAGGTGGATGCCATGGGCATTTTTCTATGGAGATTTCTCGTCAATTTTCTTGTGTTTTCCATTCGAAGCTTGTCGTTATGCTGTTGTAAAACAATCCTAAGCTCATTCAGAAGAAGCATCCTCTACCTCTATCTCTCATGTGTTTACTTTTCCTGGTGCAGAAGAAAGGCCAGCAACCTGGAGAGAAGCTCCTGAACAATTCAACAAGTTTCAATCAATGGGGATTTAACATATGATCAAATGCCTTTCTAGGATAACATAACTTGAAAATCTAAAATTATCATTAGATGGTTTTGTAGCATGGAAAAACAGGTTGAAGAATTAGTAATTTTTAGCATTTAGATGCGCAATTTATTGGGAGGACCAGGGAAATACCTGCTTGACTTGCTGCTGCTGCTGCTGGTGCATCTACTACTGTTAGTGCTGCTGCTGCTGCTGCTTCTACTGGTACTACTTGTATTGCTTCTTTTACGATCTCCTGCAGACAAGAATCTTTTTATCCCCCACTCCTCGTCTACATGACTCTCCTGTACATGAAAGGACGGCTTTCGAAATGCCTTTGGATCATTTTCGCTAGTTTTTTTCTTCCAACTGAATGTGCTGGGGATGAACATCTTGATCAAGAAACTTTCTTTTCCCATACTACCAGTTCTCGATATCCGATCAGACTTAGCAATATTCTTTATGTTTTTCTTTGACTGTTTCTTGATTTGAGTTTCACTAGTGTTCAAATCGAAGCCAGTTCCTTCAATAGCTTTCTCTTTCTCCTCGTTTTCCCTTTGCAGAGCAAGCTGTTCTTTCTCATCTACAATATCCTTTAAAGACAGTTCATAACTGGACTCTGGCATGTCATTGATCTTCTCCATGAGCTCCTTCCTAGCTTCTGCCATGGCTTTTGACTCTGGTTTTGGCGATATATTACTATGTGGATGGTTGACAGGGAGCAGACGGGAAGTTTCATTTCTAACATTTCTTGATGTATTGGTTTTCCATAAGCCTACTGAAAAATCATCGAACTCTTGCTCAAAATTTCCTCCAAACTCCCTTTCGCTGCCATCTTCATCAGTTATACTCTCGTAGTATTGAGATTGGCCTACGCCCCAGAAGTTGAATTCTTCACTTGCCATAAAGATTGGATGGTTGCTTGACAGGAGGAAGGAGATGCATACAAGAAATGTTAAGTTTGGAGATTAACCAGTTCATAAACAGCAAAATCTTTATTGGAAGATAAATAATCTTCTGGTCATCTTCTCCATACAAGTCACCACGGAGGAACTCAAAAGTCATTGCCGTCTTAAATGGGTTGTCAAGTACATTTGCATATGGTCCAATTTTGATATTTTTCTCCTTTTTCCTTTCCTTCAAACTTTATTGACAACATTTTTTAAGAGTCATTGGCTACATCTATTTTCTTATTTTCTAGTCAAGCTTCCATATAATAGTACTTGTGAATAATATATTTTACTAAACCCATACATAATTTGATCCCTCAATTTTATAAAATAAAGTTTTGGTTTAACTTTAAAATCGATATTGTGACATCCTTAATTTATTTTTTTAATAACTTCGCACCCTTTTACATTAGAAACAACAAATTTTAATGTTTTTTTACATGTAAAATATTAATTTGATACGTGTTTAATATAATTTATGAAATGATATTTTTATATTTTTTAATTATATTCAATAAATATTTAATTGATATATTTTTACATGCTAAGGTTTTTAATGGATTAATAAAATATTTAACATGTCTAATTTTATAAGCAGAATCAAATAAAAATTGAAAGTATAACAATATTTTTATGAAAAATAGAAAAATGAATTTATGTATTGAATCTTGATTGAATATCCGGGTAATTTCAAAGGTATTATTACTATGACGTATATATTTTTTCCAACATTGTCAAATTTTGACGATTGCCAATTTAAATAACTCTTTTGGAATTGAGTGAATTTAATGTACTACAGATTTTGCAGGGTGTATTGTGCCCATAAAATTATAAATTTTAATAACGAGAATATACTTTATCTGTCTCAAAATATGCTATTTCTATTCCTAATACTTGTCACATTTGATAAAATAATTTATTTTAAAATACTTGTCACATTTGTGGTTTCAAGGAGTAATAAATATTTTTTTTTCATATTTACCCTTTATATATAACCAATAATTATTGAATAATATTTATCTGTCCTCAAAATAATGCTATTTTCTATTCCTAATACTTGTCACATTTGATAAAATAATTTATTTTAAAAATACTTGTTCACAATTTGTGGTTTTCAAGGAGTAATAAATATTTTTTTTTCATATTTACCCCTTTATATATAACAATAAATTATTACTTCAATTTAATATAAATATTTTTTTTTCATATTTACCCTTTATATATAACCAATAATTATTACTTCAATTTAATGATTTTTTTTAGAGAATTAGTATTAAATTAAGGATAATTCAGTTAATTTACTCAATAATTTATTCTAACTTAAATAAATTTAATAATTTTCTTAAGGGACGTGAAATTTCAAATGTGGCAAGTATTATGAAACAGAGGCAGTAAGTCGTTTAAGGTTTTTGCACAAGGATTAAGGAATCATTTAATTTTTCTAAATTATAATAAAATCAAGGGTAAATTGACTAAGTTATTTTTTATCTCCAAACCAATAATTGCTAGTAAAAGTATTTATTATCTTACATTGAAAAAACTCATTTATTACTCCTTAAAATACTCAAAAGACTTATATTTTTGAACAAAATAATCACTTAAAAATGACTTATGTTTTGGAACAAATTAATTACTCAAAAACAATTTATATTTTGGAACAGACGAAGTACCTCTTTATGTTAACAATATAATTCACATAAACAGATTATTTTTAGAGTTTTGATTTTTATGTGTAAAATATTGAGTTTATGTGTTGTTAGTATAATTTTTAAAATAATAAGTTATATATTTTTAACTATCCAATAAGTTTTTCATCGATCCAATTTTATTAGTCGGTGTTTTTAATAAAATAATTTTGTAAAATGTTAACGAATCAAAATAAAAGTTAAAAGTGCTATAGGATTTTTCCTAAAAAGCACAAAGGTGAATTTATGAATTTTCTAATAAGAAAAATCATAATATTATTTCAGTACTTTATCAAAAATTACTACTTTGTTTATGTGGTTTGAAAAATAGGCTATTTAACTACATATTTTTCTTTTGTTATACACTATTGCCCTTCAGTTAAAAAAAAAATCCCACATTTTGCCATTAAATACTTTTTAAAAGGGCAGAAATATCCCTAGTCCCTTTGTACCCTTAAACCTTCTTCCACCAAAAAAGTTTTTATGAAAGCTTAAGCTGCTATTAATAGAGATGAGGATAGCAATAATAGGGTTGAGTAGCAACGTAGACTTTAGTGATGAAAATGATAGAGATTTGGGCGTAAGTGGAATTTAAGGGTATTTATGCCTTTTACAAGGTAAAAGAAAAATATAAGAACAAAGTATATTTTTTAAATAGATGGACAGAGTAGTAAATTTTAGCAAAATAGATTGACAATATTATAATTTTCCCTTAATTATATATGTCCATTTGCCATTTGAATATTTTTATATAATGATAAATAAGATTGGTTTAATAACTCTTAAATTTTTTATTTAACTAATATATATATTTTAGTCATGGATTAAATTACCTCTAGATATTTCTGAACTAAATACTTAAACTACTTACCAAAAGCTTAACTATTTTTTTTTTAAAGTAATTTGATATAAAATATATCCTTAAATTAAAAGTAAAAAGAAAAAGTGAAATCCTTATTTAATTGCATGTCCTTCCGTGAATTCAGCTGATGCCGTGTTCTTAGAGAAGAGAGAATCTCATCTAAGAGACCAAGACCGTGAACGATAATGCATGAAAGAGTGGATTTGAGTGTGCCATGAGTTAATTCTGAATTCTGGTGGGAAACCAATATATTAATTAACCCAAAGTTTGACTTCGTTTGTCCTTCTGTGTCGATATGGCAATTGGTAAATAATGGAAAGCTATTGAGGCCTAGATTCGCAAGAGTTTGGGAGTGAATATATAGCGTAGGTAGTGTTAAGATGGCCACTTAACCTAGAAGGTACACATTACTTGGAGTGCACTCATACTGACCTTTATAAATAGAAAAAGTTACTGTTGTAATAAGACATATGAATTAATATAAAAAACTCATTTGTCTCGTGCATTTAAGTCACCTTATGTCTTCCGTTTTTTTCCAACTCCTTAGATTTTTATATTTCTCTCTTGCCCATCTTATTTTGGTTTTTCCTCCTGAATTCTTCTTATTTTCATCCTCTTCTTTTCTTGCCCATCCTCTTCTTTCAAGCCAAGCAAGCCTCGGCCCATTTATCCACTATCTCAAGGCACTATTATATAACCAAACCCAATGGATCCTTAACCAATTTTAGATGGAACAATTTTTTTGACACATTTGGTGGGACCTGCTGGGGTTTTCTTAAAATATCGAGATACTGATGAAAGTGACCAATGATTTGCTTTACCTAAAATTAAACAATTTCATGCATCTCAATTCGGACTCAACTTTTAGAACAGAAAAATTGGCCTATCGGATGATTTTTGTTGAGATATTTGAGAGAACTTCCTGCCGATTGTGGAAGAAACATGAGCAGCCCCTGCATATATGCAAGATTCTATGATTAATTACACGATAATATCGACCGCTTAGGGACTGATGTGGCAGAATGGAAAGTTCGTGACGACTTGGTCAAGACTGATATAGAAATCACTATCCCTAATCAATTTGTAGATTACAGATATGAGGATTTGGTATACACTTTGGGCATGGTCAACCTTGGAACCAAGTTAACAACCGAATAGAACCAAGTATTGAACACTGGAAAAAATAGTAATCAAAACTTAAGACTAATGAAGAATCATACCTTGAGGATTCCAACCGCCCACGAACAGTTGACATAGTGGACAACTCTTGCTTACCATAAGGGGAAAAGAACTATCATAGATAGGTTGAAACTGAGACGGATGTCACCTAAGCTATGCAAACGGCTTCTTTCTAAAACTAATGGCCATAAAGCCGAATGATTATCATAACACATCTAGGCAAGGTCATTGCCAGGCTAATACTATTCTATGCCTAGATGTAAATAGTCGACTGTACTGGGTTATGAACAAAATAATCTGGTATGACAAGCGATTGACCCTATTTCGCATTTGGAGCAATATAATGGTATACCTCCAGATTAGAGTATCTGGAAATACGGTTGGTATGTGCAAATAATTGATTATCGGCCTAGAAACATAATGATCTATCCAAAGCATTAAGAGAATTGTTTAAAAGAAAAATTGATCCAAATAAATATATTAAAGATACATGAGAAATATGGCCTAAATAAAGGCTGCAAATTCTTATTAAGTTAGACATACAGTAAGATAATTCATAACACATTTGAAATCGAAGAAGTCTGATGCGCTGCTTTCTTTTTCTTGGCCATCCTCCTCTCATCGGCCGAAATGGAAGACAATAGGAGTAGAATGTTACGCGACTGGCTTGCACTTGCCTTCATAGGGAAGCCACTTTTTCTGTTAAAATGGGTCCCTTAGCTCTGCAGCCACGTAGCTAGGACTTAAGTCTAGTGATTTCAACTAGGGCAATCTTTTTCTCACTTAATTATTTCTTGCGCTCTTCAATGAGCCTAGGCAAGAGGCTTAAGCCTCCTCCTTTTGCTTTTTCTTCATGGCCAAAGCTTCCTCTAGAACTGATAGAGCATTGAAAGCAAGCTAATGGTCCTGAATTTTGCTGGTTAATTTCTTCATAGCGAATATACTAGAATCGTTCATAGGACCACCCCTTCATAGGCAATCACATATTCAAATGCATGATGGACGAGTTAGAGAGTTTAGAGCTTATAAAGACATCAATCTCGTGCTCCATCACCCAGTGGATATCACCAAGGTTTTATTAACGGGCACAGGGGCCGAAGGGGGTGTGACAAATGATTCTCCTAGCCCTGGTTAAGCAGGAAAGGACATTACAAACTGGAAGTAGGCTTCTTCATCATCAGTAACAGGACAATCGACCTAGAAAGGGACAATATTAGAAATATTTATTTGAATGGAGCCAAAAAAGGAACCGAAAGAAATTTGCCTTCGATAAGATAATTGGAGGAATGGGAGCATCCTACGCTAAAGGAAAGTTCACACGGCTGGAAGCAGACGGATCATTTGGCCTTATTTAAAGTCCAGAAGAAGACATGGTCGAGGGAACGCCTTGCTATGGTCCTTCAGGATAAGGAGTCAAGGGTAATTTCTCAGCTGAAGAGGAATGGGATCTAG